CTCTCTGCTCTCCAGCAGGTCCACCCCAAGCCTGTGCTGGTGCATGAGGTTGTTCCTCCCCAGGTGCAGGACCCTGCACTTGCCCTTGTTGAACCTCATCAGGTTCCTCTCTGCCCAACTTTCCAGCCTGTCCAGGTCACGCTGAATGGCAGCACAGCCTTCTGGTGTATCTACCACACCTCCCAGTTTGGTGTCATCAGCAAACTTGCTGCAGGGTACATTCTAACTCTTCATCCAGGTCGTTGATGAAGAAGTTAAACAAGACTGGGCCCAGTACTGACCCCTGGGGGACACCACTAGTTACCTGCCTCCAACTAGACTCAGCGCCGCTGATGACAGCCCTCTGAGTTCTGCCATTCAGCCAGTTCCCAATCCACCTCACTGACTACTCATCCAGCCCACACTTCCTGAGCTTCCCTAGGAGGATATCATGGGAGACTGTGTCGAAAGCCTTGCTGAAGTCCAGGTAGACAACATCCACGACTCTTCCTTCATCTACCCAGCCAGTCATGTCATCGTAGAAAGCTATCAGATTGGTCAGGCATGATTTCCCCTTGGTGAATCCATGCTGACTACTCCTGATAACCTTCTTTTTCTCCACTTGCTTGATGATGACCTCCAGGATAAGCTGCTCCATCACCTTTCCCGGGATGGAGGTGAGGCTGACCGGCCTGTAGTTCCCTGGGTCCTCCTTCTTGCCCTTTTTGAAGACTGGAGTGACACTGGCCTTTCTCCAGTCCTCGGGCACCTCTCCTGTCCTCCAGGACCTCTCAAAGATGATGGAGAGTGGCTCAGCAGTTGGCTTGCATTAGATTCTGCTTGTGCAGAGTAATGCAAAGCTTGTAAGTTTGGGCACATGTACCCAAAGGTACATGTGCAGCTTTGCCTCTTGACATGTCTTAATTCAGATAGCATATTAGAATATTGAGATGTTGTAATGTACACTTCCTAGTATATTACTCTGGTTCTGTACACAACTGAATCTGAGCAACAAAATGAAAAGCAGATACAATGTTTTCAAGTTCTACATCTGTATCCTGTTATAAGTGTTATTAATACATTTCTGGAGTTGAAGGAGAAGCAATTTTTTGGCAGTTCAGCCGTGTTGTGTTGGAGTTACTAGCTGCCTTGTCCTGTAAAGTGGCTGTGCTACTTAAGCTTTGGGCCTTACTGTTGCTTTTCTTGCTTATTCTTGGTTGATGTGTTTTGAATGTCTCTATTGCTCATAGGAGAGACCTTTTTCAAGTACTTGGAAGTAAATAGTGCCACCTGTTCAGTTCAGTCTTGCTTTTCCCTTAGGCATAATTAAAGCAATGAATTTCCTTGATTTTTAACACTAGGCAATTTAAACACTTTAATATCCTGTGTATGTATTCTTAATACAATCAAATTCTTTCTTGGTGTGTTTTCATTCAAATGCTTAGGAATTTTTAGTTTGAAACAGTCTTGGGTTTGAGCCTGACAGCCTTCAAAGATTAGACTCACTCTGTACCTGACAGACACTTAGTTGAGGGTGTTGCTTCTGTCCCTCCTGTTATTTTTCATCCTTTCTTTTTGCTGATTAGATGACAAAATGCATGTATACTTCCTACTCAGATTCCAGTTGGATGATAATCTGATTTATTTCAGACAGTGAGCTTAAAAAGCTTAAATGTAAAGTGGCCCTGGAAGTCTTAATACAGTAGCATGAAGGAAAGTGGTGTTGATTTTATGAGATCATAGAAGAATGAAGTGTTTATGGTATGTCATCAAGCCTATATTCCGTGAGAGTGTAGGCAGTTCTGAGAGGACTTACAGAGCAAGTATTAAACTTCAAGTCTTATTGTGTGCAGTCTTTAGGGAGTATGCTCACCTGCATTTGCCATATGCTCTGTACTAGTGCATGTATCTTTATAACAACTGAAAGGACTTCATCTTACCAGTTTGAAAAAAGCCTACACATAGTAATTGAAAGTAGCGTTTACAGTACTGGAGAACTTCTCACCAATTCAGCTATGTTGGCATGTCTCCAAAATAGCTAGCTTTTGAAGAGTTTTGCTTCTGAATAACTACTTTCTCAATCTTGACTACGTGTAGAGTGGATTCCACAAGACTTCAACAATTCTGGAATATGTTTAAGCTGTACAGCCAGGCTTGGACCTCTGGATTCAGTCCCTGAATTTGGCTGCCAATGATCATGTTAAAAAACATTTAGCTGCCTTAAACCAATTGTTTCTCTTGAAGAGAAATAAAAAGGGATGGTGGCAAGAACTTGACTTCAGCCTTCTGGCTGGGTGCTTTTACCAATGCAGGTAAAACTGTATTTTCACTTCCTTTCTCTGAATGGTTCCCCAGGACTGAATAATACGGTTCTGAAAAAGTCAAGTTTTGCCCTTGTTCAAATAAGGGATCTCAATGCTGTTACATTTAGAGATTTGTAGTATCTAAATCCTAATATACGTGGATGGGTCCCCTGCAGTTCTGTGGTAAGATTTAAGATCTGTTACTGTACTAATTTCTGTTAGGAATTATGGCTTCTTGATCAGCATGTGACTTTTTGGATAGGAACTTCAGGAAAGTTCCTGAAGCCTGCCCTTTGTTATGTAAGAACTTCAGTGCTTAGGCCAGAAGCTCAAGACTGGCGTACAGTTAGTGGCTAAGCCCTGCTAGAATGCATAGTATCAAGTAATCAATAACATTTCTAATGCCTGGTGTAGGGTACTACTTTCTGAAGGTAATTTGAATATTCATGTAACTCAAGTTTTGGTCAAACTACACAGTAAAGGCTCATACTTCTGAAAAAGGAGATGATGGCTTAAATTGGTGGATATCTAATAAAAATAAAAGTTTGTAAGCTACAGCTAAGCATAATAAAAAGCTATCTGCTGTTCTTATGTCTAAGTACTGTTGCATCTGTACATGTAAATTTTAATCAAAGCTATTCTGTGATAGAAAAGCTGTGTGCATGGTGTACACTGCATGCTGTGTCCAGCTCTGTGTCCCACAGTACAAGGCAGACAGAGCTGTTCAAGCACGGCCTCAAAAGTGGCCAGAGGGCTGGAGCACCTCTGCTGTGAAGATGGACTGAGAGTTGGGGTTGTTCAGGCTAGAGAAGAGAAGGCTCCATGGAGACCTTATAGCAGGCTTTCAGCATGCAAAGAGTGCTTATAAGAAAGATGGAGAAACACTTTTGACCAGGGCCTGTAGTGATAGACAAAGGGCGGCAGTTTTAAACTTAAAGAGGGTAGATTTAGGTTGGACATTAAGAAGAAGTATTTTTAATGGTGAGGATGGTGAGACTCTGTGGAACAGGTTACCCAGAGGAGTTGTGGCTGCCCCCTCCCTGGAAGTGTTCAAGATCAGCTTGGACAGGGCTTTGAGCAACCTGATCTAGTGGAAGATGTCCCTGCCCAAGGCAAGGAGGTTGGTAGATGAATTTTGAAGATCCTGTTCAACCCAAACCGTTCTGTGGTGATCTTAAGAGACCCGATTATCAAGATACCGTGGGAGTTAGCACAACACACTTGGGAACTGCTGAAACTACTCTTGTGTTCTTTCTGGACTGTAAAATTTTCCTTTTAGGAAAATCTCCTATGCCTATTCCTGTGTGCCCAGCCATTTGCACCTTTGCTAGCGCTCTGTAGCCAGTGATTTTTTTTTTTGGAAGTAGTATTTTTTTATACCTATCTCTCTATGTATTTGTTCTTTGAGTGATTCTTTAGTAGTGTTGCCAAATACAGTAGTAGCAGGAAGTGTATTACTGTAGAGATTCTCAGAAGAATATGGGTTTCTGTATACTCTTCATATCTAGACTTACATGCCTGAAAAATAGATGTTTGATACCTTAGAAAGCACGATTCATACAGAATTCATTTTTTTCTAGTTCGAAGTGTTAACAAAGCAAATTCTGCTTATTATATTTGACTGTCTTTTCTATTGAGTTGCATCGAGAAAATGTTTTTATCTTGATTATCTGACTTTGCTTTCTAGAAGGTATTCCCAAATTCTAGTTTGTCGTGCCATTTCTGTGACTGAAGTTCAGTATTCTGGATATCAGCCTCAAGTGGGATTTTGGGGCTGCTGTTTTAGCAATTCCAAGTGTCAGCCTTGCTCATGTAAAACTAATGCTTTTTTGATTGAAGGGTATTGACTTCTTAGTGAGTGGATCCTTGATTTGATTGGGTCCCTCCATTAATACTTTGCACATGCATATTTTCTGAAGAGTTGCAAAGCAGAGGTAAATGTGTTATTTATAAAATTAAATCCAATGCAGACAACTACTGGGCTGGGCAATTTATACAGCTTAGTTTTCTGTGCAGTCTTTTCTCATGTACCATGCTGCTTCCAAGCCTCTCATATGGTGAGTTTTGTTAAAAAAACGCATCCTGAGGACAGCTTTGTCCCTGTAAGGACTTGCCTGTGAAGCATAGTGTTGTACTGTGGTGCTCAGTCCAGAAAAAAGGGCTAGAACTGCGAATAACCATACCTCCAGTTGTCTTTTATACAATGTTTTGAAAAACTGTTCAGGTTGAGCTTCAGACTCAGTAGCTGCGTTGTTTGATATGTAGAAAACAAAAATCAGTTTCAAGAAAAGAGTGCCACTTAAATACTAACTACGGAACAGAAGTAAATATACTAAATTGTTAGTTGCTAAAAATGATATTCACTAATAAAATTGTCAATTGTACATTGACAATATAATGTATGATTACTAAGAATTTGTCATCTGAAAAAAACCCACTTTATCAGGCTAACAGCTGAATTGGGGGGGGGTTCCCCAAGCAGTGGAGATATTACTGCGGTGTCTGTCCCCTGAAATGCAGCGTACTCCTTAATTGTCTTTCTTAGGTGAATTAGCTTTAACTTAAATTCCAGCACTTAAAATGGGCGAACTAGGTGCTTAATGCTTTTCCTTTGGCACCTGATATGAGCATTTTTTTTTCAGTTGTACAAGAATGCTATTGAATGAAATGTTCTTTTGTTTCATTTAATGTTAAATGCTTCCATCCTTTTATTACTAGGACTGGGCTGATGCTAATGTTTCAAGACAAATTGAAGACACTGTACTTTATGGATACTACAGTAAGTATTTTAACTCTTGTTTCAAATAATACTATCTTTAAGTGAAGGTGTGAAGCTTTTAGGGGTCATACTGGATTATCTCTTTTTGGTTAAACATTAGTCTTAGACTTAGTTGCCTTCAGAGACGTTTTTTTACATTCAAGAGCCACCTAAAATTGCAAATGTACTGAAGGCCAGTCCACGAAAAGGCTAATGGCTTCTGTCGTGTGATCTACTGTTAATGTGTTCCATGTGTGTATTTAGATCTGTTAAGGGGAACACATGGTTTTGCTGTAACTTTTGTGTCACTTAACATGTGCAGCAGTGTGAAACTTGCCTACTGTGTATAAAGTTTGTGTAACTGAGTGCAACACTTATGTTTTAAGTGTTCATATTCAAACTAAAAGCTACTGTAAAGGAGCATAAAGGTGTTAATTTGAGTGGTAATCCTAAACAAAACTGAAGCAAAAAAAGTAAGTGAAATCAAATCTAAAATAACTGTTCACCAGATCTCTGCATAGTTTTAGATCAGTTTCAGTTGTCCTTATGTTTTCTAAGACTTGAATTTTTTTCTCTTGGAAGACTATGGGTTGACTCTTTGGAATATTTTCTACATCAGTAAATAATTGGTTTGAAATAGTGGACTCTTTTGTTAGGTTACAGGATACTTATTGCCTGCCAGTGATAGCGACAGAAACTAGCATGTGCAGTTTCATGCTGAGTGAAGTCTAAAGCCAAAAATAGTAAGAGACTTATCTATCTTCAGAAAGGAACGTTTTAAATACTAGTTCATCTTTCACAAAGACTCTTCACTATAGAATAGTGGAATTGCTTTGTATTTGGTTTCTGCTCTTGTTAGGCTGCTACAGTTTTGTTTCATAGCCCAAACACTTCACAACTCCTAATGTGGAACAGTCTTCAGACTCTTGGAACTCTTTCTATAGATTTGTAAGACTGATGGATGAATTTGTATGAAGTTTTGGGCTTGGGCTAACTGAGTCTCTCTACAAAGCAAGATGTCTGTTGGTAAATCCTGAACTAATTTTTAGAATAGATTTGATCTTAAACCTGGAAAACTGCTTTTGGTTTTGGCCAATCTGGACAGGTCTACTTGAAGAAATATTGTAGGACTAATGTTTATTTCATAGCATATCCTCCAGATGGTGGTAGAGATTTAAAGATGGTTTTTAAAATATTTTTCTTTTGTGATCTTAACTTGAGGCATTGATGCACATTTTATAATTAGAGCTACATTGAAGCGAACAGTAATAGGTAACCTACTTTTCAGAAGTCTCCTTCATTCCTATATAAAACACAACTTAATGCCCCTCCTGCATCATTAGGTCTTGTCCCCTGCTGCTGTTGCACAACATAGTGACATGAAAGCTGAGAAGGAATAAGATAAACAACTCTTCCAGTCTTGTAATACTACTCCATTTTTCCTGCATGTGTCTTCTTATTAAAGTATTTGGTCTTAGCGTGTCTTTTTAAAAGTAAACAGGATGAGCAGAACTGACGTCTCCTTTTGTACTTAAGGATGTGAATACAAGTACTTTCTAATCTCTTCTGAAAAAGCAGTGAAAACTATAGCTACAGGAGGCAAGTAAGATCTATATATTGGCTACTTACTGTATGAATAATTGGTACAATTGGGTCACTGCCATTCAATCCAAGTCACTTCTAACTGTAGCAAGAATGTGGAGGCTGTTTACCTGATGTTTTAGAATATTAAGAATTCCTTTTCTACCTGCATAGCAATTATTTTGAGAAAGCTGTCAAAAAATGTTGAAAGTGTTTTTTTGTGTGGGTTTTTTTTTTCCAAAGTCATTAGTCCCCACGAACAATGTTTTCTCTTGTACCCAGCTGACTTTTTTGCTAGATTGATACAAAAGTAGAGTGACTTTGTACTGGTAGAGTGATAAATTAGGTAGCTTTCAGAATTAAGATTGAAATACTTGTATTTTGAAGTGGGACTTCAGTAGCCTAAAAGCTTTACTTAGGAAAACCAATTTGATTGCTTTGAAGCCATAGTGGCTTAGTGTGTTAATTCTTATAAAACCAACTGTAGTAGAATGTGTCTGCCAGTACTTGAGTGATTGAAGAAGGGTCAGTGGTTGGCAGATGCTCTAAAACAGCATGTCGGCTTGTGTTTGGAAGGAAAACCCTTTTTAGAAAGGTTTTGAATTGGAAACCATCCAATGGCAGTTTCTTTTGTACCATGAAGAATCAGACTGAAACAATTGATTAACCTGGAGCTGTGTTCTGTAGCTCTTCCTCTAGTCAGTAAATCCTATCTGTTGGTTTCAGCTTCATGTTCAGTGTCCTTTGTTAAAGTTTTGTGAATGGCGAAAGGATGCTGTCAGTAGATCCCAGTCTTCCTGTGAGGTAGACTGAGCTCTCTTGACCTGTATGCGTTCACTGTCTCCCAGCTATACAGTGGCAAGGACTGTCTGCTAAATTCTGTGGGGATCTCTTTGGTGTGCTTTAAAGTCTATGCTAAACTTGATTGCTTTTTTCTTAAACAGAATTATTTTCCCAAGTCAGCAGTAGTTACTGTATGGTGGTTCCTCGGTTAAAGTTCTTGAGTAAGAATTTATCCAGAACAATACTTGGTATAACTTGGATGACTTTTTGCGTAGAGTTTTGTCTGCTTACTGCAATTATTTGATACCAACTCATTGACACAAGGACTTGGGCTCCTAGGAATTAGTAGGCACAAGTCAAATGTGACTACATGTTTTAATGGTCTGGTCCTAGGAGAAGGCATGCTAAATACTGTGGAAAACTTGCATAGCTGTACTTGACAAATATTGTTGAGTTATGGCTGTAGAAACACTATCCTAATAAGTGATTTTTGAGAAGCAATATGCCAGAACATAAATTGAAAGTCTCTTATAGTAGTGACACTTACTGTGGTGAAGTGCTTTAAGTGTCCTGCTGCATACAAGTGTGTGATGATGATTTGAAATTCACTACTGCTTTGTATTCCTTAACTTTCACTGGGGAAAACAAGATGTCTGCTACTGCAGTTTCGATGAACCTTTGTTTGAAGAATTTTTTTATTAGATGTGAGAACAGTATATTTGGGAAGAAATGTTCATCTTAAGTTTTCTGAAGTAGGTTGTGACTTAAAATGCTCAGCAGGAGAAGTAAGGGAGTATATAACAAAGCATTGCTTTAAGCGACTTAGTATTGATGTTGTGCAATGAACCAGCATACAATACTGTCTGGAAGAGCAGAAGTTTTGTATGATCAGAAGTCTCTTCCATCACACAAAATTATTGAACCTCCTGTAGTCTCCCAAAAGGGATTTGAGGGACCTTATAAATGCTTATAAATATCTGAAGGGTGGGTCTCAGGAGGATGAGGCCAGACTCTTTTCAGTGGTGCCCAGTGACAGGACAAGGGGCAATGGGCACAAACTGAAGCACAGGAAGTTCCGTCTGAACATGAGGAAGAACTTCTTCCCTCTGAGGGTGACGGAGCACTGGAACAGGCTGCCCAGGGAGGTTGTGGAGTCTCCTTCTCTGGAGATATTCAAGACCCTCCTGGATGAGGTCCTGTGCAGCCTGCTGTAGGTGACCCTGCTTGGGCAGGGAGGTTGGACTAGATGACCCTCAGAGGTCCCTTCCAACACCTACCATTCTGTGATTCTGTGACTACTTGATCTCAGATACTCTGCATGAAATCTTCCCAAATTTTGAAGATGCGTGTTTCTTATACCTACTGCATTTTGTTATTCTTCGTTGTTCCTAGTTGCCCTTGAGTACTACTAGGAGGGAAGAAAACAAGTTGAAACATAACAAAGGTACCATTGCTATAATTTATTTGAAGACTACTACTGGGTCGAACTTTCTCATAGTTAAGGTGTCTTTGTATTGATATGGTGCAAAACAGCAGAAAAGGAGTCATTTTGTCTTGAGATAAGAATTGCTATCTCAGAAATGTCTATAAAACAAAGAAACCTTATCAAGGAATTCTTGCTGAAGATTGCTAAGACTCTGTGGCAGGAACCATTGTTTTGCTTGGCTATACAGTGAAGCACTTTCCCAGTGGTTGTGCTTCAACCTTCTGAAACAACCCAGAAAAATGTTTTGAAATAAAAGTTGGATCTCTGAACCAGAGCAAAGATCAGCCACTGATTTAAAGCTGAAGTCTATAAAAGTGAAATAATGAAAGCTGAGACAGTCTGTCATGCCACAATGCTACAGGGGAGTTAGTGGGAAGGGAATGTCTTTGTCACTTGGTTGACTGGCTGTTTGCTGCTGCAAGACTTTTGTAGGTTAGCTTTCCAGGGAATAAACAGCCCTTTAGTGGGCAGAACAACAGGCAATTAGGTGCTTGCCCTTGGGTAACGAACTGGTATGAGCAGATGAAAGGTGCTGCTCTTCCTTTTTCATAAGTTCTAAAACATAGAATTAAAAAACTTAAGATGATTTGTCTCCTGTCTGGCTGATAGGAACTTTTCCCAATCTTTTAATGTTTCCTTTCTGGTAGAACAGGAAGAACAATACTGCTTTAACCATGTGAGCTATAAAGTTAACTTTCAGTTTTAATTAAAAATTCTCACAGAAACTTTCAAGACTTCATCCGATAGATGAACACAAATGTCTGTCTTGAAGTGATTTTGCTTGGGACAAGCAAGTGCAAAGCTGCTTTTAAGTTCACTCTCTGTGTTAGACCTATAAAGTTTCTGTGGTAGCAAAGTTTTTCAACAGAGCAAGTATCAGAGGTGTTGCAATAGTAAGTGTAAGTTGGAGTTTATGCTACTACATTTAAATAAAGTTACCCTCAAGTTGTACTATTATATCTCTTGAAATGCATTGAAGGGCCTGTAACTTCTAGACAGTGCATTTAGGGTAAACATAAGGACCAAGTGCCAGCAGAGAATTCATGACTGATGGAAAATCCTGGAATGAGTCTCTTGCTGAATCTTGTGTATGCAGATCCTGTTTCAGAGTTGATACAAAGTATGCTGTTAGAGCTTGAGGTTTTTAATATGAATCATCTGTTACAAGTCA